TCTAAAACGCAAACAACAAATTACCGCAAACAAATGTTTAAATGTAGATAGCAATAAAGACATCCAAAAAACTGGTTAAACAATACCTTATTAAAACAAATCAAAACTAAAAAGACCAGATTAGGGATTTAATCAGTATAACAGAAGGAACTGATGAGATGGTAACCCCGGACATCCTAGAGTCAGAGAGATAGTGTAAGTATGATGAGTGCATAGATGTGAACATGGACACATACACAAGGATGAGTGCGTGTAGTATAAGTGCATTTGTGTATAGGATGGATACATAAGACACAGTGTATGTAGGTGGATGGTACGGAATCATGTATGGACGGAACAGTGGGAATATAGTTGTGCGAAAGATACAGATGAATGAGTACATGGATTTAAATGTATTACTGTATGCATGTATATGCATGTATATGTGTGTATGAGTGTATATGAGAGCGTGTATACTTATATATTTGTGAGTGTACGAATGACAGTGCAATCAATGAAACCATAAACTGTGTTGCTGTATGTCTGTTCATTAATGAGAACAAATGGAATGAAGGGTGTAAGCAGTAAGAACGTCATCAACGCACACCATCCACCAAAACATGATACGTCAGTACCGGACAGGTCACATACCAGTAACGGGACATAACTTAAAAGTGACACGACCAGACGAAATTACAGACAAAGCGACACAAAATGCATAAGACATGGAAGAGTGAAGATCACTACGTGTGGATGTACTCGTTTTTTTATAAATGTAAGTACAGGCATTGGTAAACGCATATGAAAGAGTTTGCGTGTGTACGTAATGTCAATTAGGTATGCATACACAGATAAGTATGAAAGGACGTACAAATATGTAGTGTTGTCTGCATGTATGAGTACTCAAGTGCATGTACGCATACACCTAGTTGGGTGCGTCCATATACTCCGGGGATTCATAAACAAAACCATCCCACTCCACAGCATGCATACAACATGCACATGACCGACAGGACTCATAACAAAAATATGACTGACAGCAAATAGGGAATACAAGTGACTCGATAATGACAGAACTAGAACGCAGAACCTCCAATACCACCCCATCACTGGGATGATAGCAAAGGTTGGTAACGTGATACACATAGTCCCGGCAAAAAGCCACGCTAGAATCCAGCAAGACGGCAACGACGAGAATTGACTGAATGGCCTCCCGCTCCCCTTCCCCCCACCTTTCCCTAACTCTTTCGGATGCACTATGAGTTTAACCCCCCAACCCATTCCCACAGAGAGCACTTGAGTTCGTTGCCCAACATGCCACAACAATTCTCATCGCCGATCATTTGGATCTCAAAGCGTGAGCTGGACGGTTCGGTTATATGGTATTTACGTACACCGGAGCTTAGCTATCAACACAACCCGATCACATAATAACAAATGACGACTGGACCCGCTTAAGACTCCACACAAACTCTCACACACATATCCATTACATGACTAACCCGTTCATATTACAGGAAGACAACTATAAGACCACTATGGTCACACGCGGAAAATTTTCACATTTCGGAACTATTCACATTCAAAAACTGTTTTCAGTACTTTTTGGCAAAATTAAAATACTCAAAATTTTAAAACAATAAATGGTGGCCGAAAGGTCGTTGTGTTTGGAAGCTCGCTCTCCTTCGAGATACGCCTAGCCAGATCAAATGGAGACAGAACAAACAGGAAACACCAAGAATGAAGAAGGAAGACATGCACCAGTGACAACAGGACGAGCGGTTTGATTCGGATGGAAGCATTAAGCCAGAAATGGCACAAACACCAGTATTCAGTCACGAAAGTGACGCAAATAACCCAGACCACAAATATAGGCGGAGACTGTTAGCAGCCTAGGCTAGCTAGCAGCAGTCTGAACGTGGTCGAGCTTTTCTTTTTTTTTTCTCAAAAGGACTTGGACTTGGACTTAAAGAGTAAATGTTTATAAGACCCCCTCCCCCATATAATATTGAGGTTTGTCTGACTGTTTGAAATAATGAATCCCAAAAATGTGTTCCCTGGTGACATTTGGGAACCACAGTTCTGGAAGAGTTTAAACAGTACCAGTAACCACACTACCATATTGCTTAAGAACGGAGCCTTTATTTTCTATTTAAGAAAAAGGTGCAGTTACTAACCACAGAGTGTCTCTAAAAGGTGCTGGTACTCACTACAAGTGGTTGTAACAGTAGCGATGAAAAGATCCTAAAAATACCATTGCATACTGCTAGGGGGGAAAGCCTTGCTGAAGGATGTGTCTGAATGAGGTTTTATTTTCTCTTCAGTGTTTGTTTATGAAATTGACATAGAGATATATGGAAAGAGAGGCCGAGGATGACAGTATGAGAAGATTCTTAACTGCCTTTTGTCATAAGCTGATGGATGCTGTTGGGGATTGCAGGTTGTGGAGAGGTATGGTCGCCCAAACCAGTTGGCAAGGCATTTGATGATGATGATGTTATAGATGACTTTAGTATCATTGTAATGTTTTTTCTTTTGTACTCTTTGTCTTTTTACAGAGCAGCGCACCACCCAGCAAGGCCAGGTGTACTTCTTGCATACACGTACAGGTGTGAGCACATGGCATGACCCCCGTGTTCCTAGGTGAGCAAGAAGTCAGTGTTATGTGTTTGGTGTTCAGAGGAGTGCAAATTCCTCAGGTGGGTTCCGGGGTCCCATGTGGGGGGGGGGGGGGGGGGGGGGGGGGGAGAATAAACCTACTGCTCCTCTAACAAGCATGTTGTAAAAGTCGACTAATTAAATATGTTTCCTTCAAAGTCAGAGTAAATCTACCTGACAGGAGAGGAGCCAACAGTCTGCAAATAAGCCAGATTTAATCTGTAAAATGGATGTGCACACAAAACTCAAGTTCTGGAGCAAGACTAAAGTCCAGAAGTGGACGAACAACCAGAGCTTTCCTCCAGAGTTTACAGCGGGTGAATGCCAAGAAGTGAGATTGAACACTGGTCTCAGAATCATCACTGGAGATATGAGAAGCACACCAATTAATGAGCTGGAGGCAACCTGTGGCATCGAGAGCTTGAGCATTCGAAGGGAAGAAAAGGTGCTTACCCTAAACAGAAAAATTTAAACGCGTGAACAACAACCTCATGCACAGAATAGCAGATAACTTAACCAAAAACTGACTGAAAAGACAAAGCTTTCACCATCTATCAAAATTGTACTACACAAAAAACAGTGACATCCTTTCTAAAGATCCTTCAACATGGGAAATGATCCAGGCATACAGTATAGACAGAAAGGCTGAAGAATGTGACCTAGTACCGCGTGCAAAGACCCTTGAACATGGACACACATGTACACCGATGGATCATTGGAGGGAGCAGACAAAAATGGAGGAGCTGGATCGGTCATCATGCTGCAAGATGGGACCATAGTAGAAACGTCATTCGCCTCCGGAAGACTCTCAAAAAACTTTAGAGCAGAGCAGCAAGCAAATATTGATTCAGCCAAAGCGCTGGAGGAAAAAAAAAATTAAAAACAGCAAAATTGTTTTCCTTTGTGACTGCATGTCAGTCCTCCAGGCGACTCATAGGGATCCATGAGACAACATGAGCTAAACAGACTCACAGAAAACAGTCAAATAGTTCTCCAGTGGATCCCGGCTCATTGCGGCATACCAGGAAATGAGTTAGCAGACAGAGTTGCAAAAAATGGAACAAAGGAGAAACAACACGCCCATTCATTGTCATTACCAGAAATCAAAACACTTATCAAAGGAAAATGCAAGGGATTGTGGAGAGAACAGACTAACAGTAAACATCCACAAGACCCCATCAGCAGACTCAACAGAAAGCAACATACAACAATTTTCCGTCTGCGAACAGGACACTGCAGGCTCAACTACCACATGCATAAAATAAAGATTGTACAGTCACCACAGTGTGCCTGTCAAATAAGACCCCAAACACCTGAGCACATTCTGCAGACCTGCCCACTCTACCTACAACTTCGAAAAGACACCTGGCCTCAAGAGCAAAGTGTGCAGAGCAAGCTATGGGGAACCATGCAGGACCTGCAGCTGACATGCGAGTTCATAGAGGCAACCCACCTGATGGTCTGATCTGAGCATACGAAACCGAACGCAAAGAAAAAGAAGAAGGACACAGTATTTGTTTCTTTGCTGGTTGTGCATTTTCTGTTCATATCTTCAGAAACTCTATGTTGATGTCTTTTGTTAGCTGCTGGTAATGACTTATAGATTGCTGGTAATGTCTTGGGTTTATTTGCAGTTAATGTCTTGTTGGCAGCTGGTAACTCCTGTAATGTCTTGTAGGTTGATGGCAGTGTCTTTTTGTCTGTTGTTAATATCTTACTGATTGCTGGTAATGTCTTGTTGGTTGAAAAAAGAAAATGTGTGTATGTTTAAAAACTTATTCTGTTATCCAGATTGACTTTGTCCATGATGATACTGATGGTTTCATTCATTCATTGTCCTGTTATGCTGTTATATGTCACAGAGGGCTTATAGTCTGTTTCTTCATTCAATTCTGTCCTGTGCAATCACTTCAGTATTGTGGAGGGAACCCAGCCAAGCAGCCTTGTCCTCTGTTTTGGAATGCGATTGTGATCATTGTCAGTTAGTGGGGAAACAACCAGGAATTTCTGCCCCATTTACAGCTGGTAAACACAAAGAAGAGGAAATTGCTTTGACATAACCTGTTTGGTGCTGAATGACTCAAAACTCAGAAGTAATATGTGAATGTTGTATTTTTATCCTCAGTCAAGTAGAGTTGTGAGCTAATACTTATGAGTTATGTATGAATATTGTATTTTTCTCCTCAGACAACTGGAGTTGTGTTAAAACTCTTGAGTAACGTGAACGTTGTACTTTCTCCTCAGACAACTGGAGTTGTGAGTTAAAACTCATGAGTAACATGAACATTGTATTTTCTCCTCAGACAACTGGAGTTGTGAGTTAAAACTCATGAGTAACGTGAATGCTGTATTTTTCTCCTTAGACAACTGGAATTGCGGGAGGAGGACCTTGGACCTCTGCCTGATGGCTGGGAGGTGAGAAGGACCACAAGCGGCCGGGTGTATTTTGTGGATCACAACAACAGAACCACACAGTTCACAGATCCCAGATTATCACAGAATTTACACTTGCTGCAGGAACGATTGTACGTGTTCTTGCAGATTAGCCGTTATCATTAACAGATATTCCTCATGTATGTTCAGGGTCTCATTATGGGAAAGCAAGAATAGACCCACTGCCTCCCTAACAAGCGTCTCATAAGAGTCGACTGATTGGGGTTTCCTTCGAAGTCAGAGTGCATCTGCCTGAGAGGCAAGGTACTAACAGTCTGCATACAAATAGGCCAGATCTGTAAAACTCATATGCACAAAACCCCTGAAGTTCTGGAACAACACTAAAAGTCAGAGACAGTGAACCGCCTGCTGGAAATGGGTATTGAATGAGGACAAGCTTGTATCAACTGGTTGTGGGACAAGACTAAAGTCAGAGACAGTGAACCGCCTGCTGGAAATGGGTATTGAATGAGGACAAGCTTGTATCAACTGGTTGTGGGACAAGACTAAAGTCAGAGACAGTGAACCGTCTGCTGGAAATGGGTATTGAATGAGGACAAGCTTGTATCAACTGGTTGCGGGACAAGACTAAAGTCAGAGACAGTGAACCGCCTGCTGGAAATGGGTATTGAATGAGGACAAGCTTGTATCAACTGGTTGTGGGACAAGACTAAAGTCAGAGACAGTGAACCGCCTGCTGGAAATGGGTATTGAATGAGGACAAGCTTGTATCAACTGGTTGTGGGACAAGACTAAAGTCAGAGACAGTGAACCGCCTGCTGGAAATGGGTATTGAATGAGGACAAGCTTGTATCAACTGGTTGTGGGACAAGACTAAAAGTCAGAGACAGTGAACCGTAACCTGCTGGAAATGGGTATTGAATGAGGACAAGCTTGTATCAACTGGTTGTGGGACAAGACTAAAGTCAGAGACAGTGAACCGCCTGCTGGAAATGGGTATTGAATGAGGACAAGCTTGTATCAACTGGTTGTGGGACACAGAAAGAAGAGATGCCAGTCAACTCTTACTGGGTACGTTAAGCATGGAAACACTGAGATTGCTGCTGCATTGCAGGACGGTGCATGAATGGGTCAGGCCGGTGTGCTAGGATGTTGATATGGACAACAAGTAACATGACAAAAGTAAAGAAGTGGATCAAAACAACCAGACCTTTCTGCCAGAGTTTACAGCCAGTGAAAGCGAAGAAGAAGATGAACAAAGTTCACATATACTTTCTCTTTTGTGACTGTATCTGCCTATAAAATAGGAGCTATCATCGGCACAAGGGCTGCAGCTGTAGAATTGATGCTCCCAATGTGAGTTCTGAGGCCCCATTTTTTGGCGACTAATTAAGGATTTACTGAAATTTGATGATTCTAGTGTTTTACGACTCAAAGTTACACTATGGCATGGGCGCCTGTAACTTTCCAGATCAGTATCTCCGTTTTCACTCTTTTAGTCGACCTTACGGTATGGGCACCTGTGGACTCTCTAAGCACAGTCTCTCTCTCTCAGTCCTTCCTTTGGCATAAATACTTTTCCTAAGGAACGCTCACCTTGGCCGTTTGTCCTACTTCTTCATGCTGACTCAGAATTCAACATCTCTTTAATATATGCAAACTAGTCCTTGTGCCACATACGGGTTGCTGACCTTAGATAACCTGTTTGTTTTCCTGCTTCCTGCTCCTTGCTCTCCACATTTCCATTGTTCCTTGTAAGCTCAATACCCTCATAATTTCTCTAGGCTTGGCTATCCTCTCTTAATGTTGCTGTTTTTTTCCAGAGCTTTGTAGGTGTATGTTGCTCTAGCTGTTTCAGTTTCTGGGGTTTTTTATAACTTAATTAGTTATGCAAATTCTCAATCGTTCTGAGTTCAGTTGTCCTTTAGAGGCCATCCTATCAGCAGCTTTGTCTGTCTTTCTAGGCCAATGCTGTGTGTGCTTTTAACCTTTGTTTCTTCCTTCCATAATTTATGGGTATATTGACCTACAAAGGTCCTGTTCTCCTAGCTTTGTTCGGTACCTACGTCTTTGTATGTCGACTCTTTGGTCAGTGCCACCAGGGTTTTTATATTATACTATGTAGCGACCTTTTTGTTCTCAGGTGACTCTATACCTCCTTATTTCTCTGTTGTGTTTCTCTCCTTCTATTTTCTTCTTGTAGTATTCGTGACTGTAATCAGTACTGTCACAAAATGGCGATTCCTTGGGTGAGTCCAGAACCAGAGCGTCATGCCTAGTCTCTGCATTTATGAAAGCCTTCTTTGATAGTGGGAAAAGTCCATATTCCGCCCCTCCCTGCCCTCCTTGAGGCTAACCATTCTGCTCGTGGTTGCCCTGGACAGGTTCTAGAGGGGCAACACAGCGAGATAAAGAGGGCATGGCACACATTATTCTACATCATGAAACCAGCCAGGATGGCTAAACCAGGGAACAAATGCCCAAAGAAGTCAGATGTGTCGGCCAAAAGGCGCAAACAACGCTGCTATGCTGTAAACAGGCATTATGCAAATTATGTCATTCTGACAATGAAGAAGAAGAAATCTCCAGCATGCCTGAATTATGGTACTTAACTGTTACTGACTGTAAACACCAACAGGTTTTAGAATTGTTTGTTCAGACACTACAGAAGTTTCTGTATCCTATTGCTAAGAATTTTGTTTAGTAAACTGAAAAATGTGGATGTCTCATTTATTTACTTATTTGTGAATGTCTGTGCAGGAAAAGTCCATCCCAAGACAAGGAAAATGAGCAGCCAAATGTACCCAAGTATAAACGGGATCTTGTACAAAAGATGAAAGTTCTCAAACAGGAAATCGGCTCCCTCCAGCCCCAGGCGGGTCACTGTCGGCTGGAAGTCAGTCGCGAGGAGGTGTTTGAGGTTCGCCATTTTTCATTCTTGTTTTCCACCCACTTCGGTTGTCTTTTTTAAAGGTGTTGCTACAGTGTCAGTAAAAATGTAATCTTTGGCCGCAGCAAATAAGCGTGATAGTAGCTCCTTATTATTGATTTAGCATACCTTTGTAACTATTCTGTTCTGTGCGGACGCCAGTTAATGAATGTTTGTAATTTATAAGTAAATGTTTTGGTTTTCCATAATTTTGATCAATGTTGCGGTAGTATTTCAGTGTTTTTATTATATGTTACTGCATGATCTAATCTGGGCTATTGAACTCAGTTTACTTGGGAGCCTACATTTTGAAAATGAGGATCACCACGGGCCAGAGATCCTAGCCCCAGCATAGAAAGATCATTAATACAATAAGCTAGCAGTGATCCGCGGGCCACTTTCCAGCAGTTGAATAGCCCTGGTTTAAATCTTTTTTTATGGTTATAATTAGGGCTGTACCAAATAGTAATTTTCACTATTCGGCCTAATACGAATAGCTGGACCAACTATTCGGCCAAATACGAATACGAATAGTGAATCATCATCATCATGTCCTTTGCCGGCTGGCATAGGCGATTATGCCTCGCCACAATCTGCGATCTCCTGCAGCACGTATTAGTTTGTGTTCTGACACACCTCCATGAAAAACCTTCGTTCCATGTTGTCAACATTAGGGCAGCTTTTTTTTCTGACTGAAGATATTTTCAGCTGTACTAAACAGGAAAATACGACAAATACAGAGAGTCAAGATAAAAACCCGCAAGGCGAAACATCAAAAACAAAAATAACGCCGACGAAGAAAACAATGCCGTCCTCACAAGTCCCCCGCCCCTCCCCACCCTCCCCCGCGAGCTCAAGGATTCAACGGAAACAAGATAGCGACATCAAAGACCACTGCGGCCATGGAGACGGACAACGCCGAGCAGCCAACACCTGAAGATCAAATAACGAAAAAATCATTGCAGACGAAAAATCCAGACGCCGAGCGGCCAACGCCAGAAGATCAAAACAACAAAGACAACGAAGCTCCCGATTGTCGATCAAAAACATTCAGCCGCTTGCCGTTTCCACCAGACGATGAAAGAACAGTTACGACACCCATAAATGACGAACTCCCGTTACTTCAAACAATCAACGAAGAGGACTCTCCACTCAAAGAAATCAAGCCGACAACACTAGAAACACTTGCTTTTTTCTGCCCTTCTTACATCTATTAAGTGTTGCATTTTGTTTTTAATCAGCAACACACCTAAAAACACTATACTTGGCAACACATACAAGATGGAAATAAAGGGGCACTTGGTACGCTCGTAGGTGGTGCACAAAGATAACGCTTGACAGTATAAACCAAGGTGGGAAATCTTGATGTTTTTTTTTTTCACCAGTCCAGAAACGGTTGTAACCACTATTCGTATTCGGCCCGACCGCAACTATTCGGCCGAATACCGAATAGTTATTGGGTCCACTATTCGGCCCCAAAGCGAATACGAAGCGAATATTCGGTACATCCCTAGTTATAATCCATGGCCAAGAGGCTAAGTCAACTGCCTCACATTGTGAAGGTTAAGGTTTCATTTTCAGACTCTGTCCTTTAGTTTACGAGTGTGGGTGTTTCATAAGTTCTTGGGAGTTGTTGCTGAAACTGTGGAGCTTCATACTTTGTGGGACATTCTAAGTAGTAGAGAGCTTACCAAAAAGCAATTCCAATAAGAAATATGTCAAGCCATCTGGGACCAAAACCTTATACAGTAAAGTCAGTCCTCCTATCTTAATGACCAGATTGTAAAATATTTTGAAGCTTTATGTTTATATTGATATTATCTTTAACAGGATTCCTATCGACAAGTTATGAAAATGAGGTCAAAGGACTTGCGCAAGCGTTTAATGGTGAAGTTTCGAGGCGAGGAAGGTCTCGATTATGGTGGTGTTGCCAGGTAAGTTATGAAATACGTGTAAGGTTTAATTGCCATTTTGTTGTGCCACCATTTAGGATTTACTCTAGACCTTTCAAAAGAGAGCTATCTGGAAAGTGGTTTGCATAAATAGATTGTGCTCTTCTGACATTTAATCTCAATTCCAGTTTCTTCTTCTTCGTAGCATTTGCCAACTGTAAACTCCAGCAGAAAATTCTGGTTGTTCATCTGCATCTGGACTTTGGTCTTGTCCCAGGGCTTCAGTTTTGTGTGTACATTCATTTTACAGATTTGGCTTTTCTATGTGCAGACTATCCTCACCTGTCAGGCAGAGGCACGCAAGAGTGTGAAGGAAACACCCCTGATTGGTTGCTATTTACATTGTTATGATTGGCTGCAAGTGTCTATTACACTGATGTAATTGGCTGCATGGGTCTGTTACAGTGATGTGATTGCCTGCAAGTGTCTGTTACATTAATACGATTGGCTATTAGTGTCTAATGAAGTTGGCTGGCTACAAGTGCCTAATTAGATGTTTAATCCAGTTTTGTCCTTTTTAGGACGAAATTTTTTATTTGAAGCCCCACCCTGGCTTTTGCCAGGGGCCTCAATATAGGCAGGCAATAAATATGGCCAATTGTCTGAACGCAGTTTCTGGGACCTCTCCACGGGGTGATCCTCATCCACATGATGGCACTTTGTGTCATCCGGTGTTTATTGCTTGTGTGATGTCCTAGTGGGGTAGAAAGTCAGTCAGTCAGTGCCTAATTATGTTGATATGATTGGCTAAAAGAGTCTAATTGTATTATCTTCACAGAGAGTGGTTCTACCTGCTGTCTCATGAGATGTTGAATCCCTACTACGGCCTGTTTCAGTATTCCAGAGATGATATCTACACTTTACAGATCAACCCTGATTCTGGGGTTAATCCGGTAAGACTCACTGTTGATTTATTATCAGGCTTTCATCGAGTTTTGTTTTTTGTTTTTAATAATTAATAACTATAGAAAATATACAGTCTAGACAGGGTATTGCACCTTGTTATATCAGATAAGGGTAAGTCAGGGTATTACACCTAGTTGTCTGAGATAAGGATAAAGTCAGGGTATTACACCTAGTTGTCTGAGATAAGGATAAAGTCAGGGTATTACACCTAGTTGTCTGAGATAAGGATAAAGTCAGGGTATTACTCCTAGTTATGTAAGATAAGGATAAAGTCAGGGTATTACACCTAGTTATATAAGATAAGGATAAAGCTGGGACAGGGTATTAGACCTAGTTATGTAAGATAAGGATAAAGCCGGGACAGGGTATTAGACCTAGTTATGTAAGATAAGGATAAAGCCGGGACAGGGTATTAGACCTAGTTATATGAGATAAAGTTAAAGCCAGGACAGGGTATTAGACCTAGTTATGTAAGATAAGGATAAAGCCGGGACAGGGTATTAGACCTAGTTATGTAAGATTATAAAGCCGGGACAGGGTATTAGACCTAGTTATGTAAGATAAGGATAAAGCCGGGACAGGGTATTAGACCTAGTTATGTAAGATAAGGATAAAGCCGGGACAGGGTATTAGACCTAGTTATATGAGATAAAGTTAAAGCCAGGACAGGGTATTAGACCTAGTTATGTAAGATAAGGATAAAGCCGGGACAGGGTATTACACCTAGTTATGTAAGATAAGGATAAAGCCGGGACAGGGTATTAGACCTAGTTATGTAAGATAAGGATAAAGCCGGGACAGGGTATTAGACCTAGTTATGTAAGATAAGGATAAAGCCGGGACAGGGTATTAGACCTAGTTATGTAAGATAAGGATAAAGCCGGGACAGGGTATTAGACCTAGTTATATGAGATAAAGTTAAAGCCAGGACAGGGTATTAGACCTAGTTATGTAAGATAAGGATAAAGCCGGGACAGGGTATTAGACCTAGTTATGTAAGATAAGGATAAAGCCGGGACAGGGTATTAGACCTAGTTATATGAGATAAAGTTAAAGCCAGGACAGGGTATTAGACCTAGTTATATGTAAGATGAGGGTAGCATCATATGCTTGTTGTGCCTCAAAGCATAAGAAAGAATCTTTTACTGTTTGTAAACGACTGGCCTCTCCTTATAGTTATTTTAATATGTACTGGGTACAAATAAAGCCCAAGTTCAGATCATTCATCAGTTGAAACACAGGACGGACATATTGAATTTTAAAGTGATGAATATGTATAAAGCATGGCTAGTCAACTAAGTTTGGTCAGGGGGACCAAAATTGTGAAAATGGGGATGGCCAAGCGCCAGAGACCCGAGCTACAGCATAGAAAGATCATTAATGCAACACAGCTGGCAATGATCCGCGGACCACATGCTAGACCTCCGCGGGCCAAAGTTTGCCAGTGGACTGCCAGTTGAATAGCACTGGTATAATGCAACGTAAAAAAAAAAAATTTTTTTAATTGGAATTGAGGTTTAACTAAATGGAAGAAATTTCATCTTCTGAAAATAAGCATCTAAGTCATTTGTTTGTTTGTTTTTGTTTGTAGAAAACATTAAAATAATACCAGTCTTATTTTCATGCAAACATGGTAGTAAATAATTCACATTTTGTGAAGTCTGTTTAACTGGTTAATGTGTGTGCATTTCTATCATAGGAACACCTGTCTTACTTCCATTTTGTGGGCCGAGTGATAGGAATGGCCATCTTTCACAGCCACTATCTGGACGGAGGCTTCACCATGCCTTTCTACAAACAGCTCCTGAGTAAACCGGTCACCCTGGATGACCTAGAGAGTGTGGATCCTCACTTACATCGCAGTCTTTGTTGGATGCTGTATGTTCTGTTTTGTCCATTTGTGATCCTTTATCATAATATTGAATGGTTGGCTCCCCTTGTGGGTTCTGTGGCCCTGGTTTTTTTCTCCTTATCTATCTTCTTATCATAAAAGACAATTACAGGTTTTCCTCCTCTGAAGTCGAACGCATCTGTCTGAGAGGTGAGGAGCCAACATTATGCGTACAAAATGAGCATATCTCTAAAAAGGATGTTGACGCAAAATTCAAGTTCTGGAACAAGACTAAAGTCTAGAAGTGGACGAATAACCAGAACTTTCGAGTTTTCTAGCAGTTGGGAGCTAAGAAAAATGCTTGAAATTGATTGGGCAGTGAAAAAGAATTTAGAGGAAAAGAAACTGGAATCTGTGAACCCTAGAAACCTGTGGAAGGAGAGATTGGCAAGGATAGTGAGAACAGGTTTTTCATGGTAATTTATCCTGCTGTTGCATGGTGTCAGCACATATATTGGTGCACGCTGTTGCCGACCACGAGGTGCTGAGCAGCTTGGTTACAGATTTGAATCTTTTCACTCTGAGACCCCCAGATTTGAGCATCCCAGATTTTGGCAGTATGGCCGTGCCGGTCTTCCCCCACCCCCATGCCTATATGTCAGCTGTGGTTCTTGTTGTAGTGTTTAAAGTGTTTAGAAGGGCTGGATATGATTATATTTACTAGAAAAATCAGTTTCATGTTTGATCCAGGGCATTCTGGATTAAAGGGCAATGAACGAGCTGACAGACGTGCAAGTGATGCATATGGGGAAACAGACAAGAAATGGGCAGGACTGATGTGCCTTCAGAGAAGGCAGCTCGATTAAACAAATCAAGTAATGATTGTGAATCTGCAACACTGATTGAACTACACGAACCTAACATCAAAAGGGCTGAAGCCAGATAAGAGCGCTAGACAGGGGCCCAAAGAAGAATAGTAGACCAACACAGAACTGGTGTCATGAGCCACTACACGCTGAGGGAGATGCTGAAGAGGGGATATGAGCACTCAAGGACTAAATGGTTTGATGTGCACTGATGATAATCTGTCAACTAACCAACTAACTTCTTCTTCTTCTTCTTCTCTTCCACCTTTTACCTCATCGAAGTGTCGGGGGAGATGTAATGTTCGTTGAAGAGCTCTGTCAAGAGCACTGTTAAGACTGATGTTCATTTCTGTAAGGCTGTTCTTAATGCCATCACTCCATCTTTTCCGAGGTCTTCCACTCGCTCTATACCCGTTATAACATTTTAGTGTGGCTCGCTGTGGCGGATAGTACCAGGGCATTCTTGTTCGGTGTCCAAACCACTTCATTTGTTGTTCTTTGATGACCTGTAAGACTGGCTTTATTCCTAGCATTCGTCTGATTTCATGATTTCGTATTCTGTCTTTCCTTGAAACTCCTGCAGCTCTTCTAGGAAACTAACTAACTAACCAACTATATTTACTAGAAATTGAATTTGGGAATTTTATTTTAAGAAGAAAACCTTTTTTTTAAATTGGTCATTATGACGTCATAACTTGCTTTATCCTTCAGCGGTTGCATGGCGATAGGGTCATAGTATCTTCTTCTTGTGTCGTAATTTGTTATTCTATAACTAACACTACTGTCTCAGTTTGTAACGTCTAGCTGGTTCTTTTTTTCAGAGACAACAACATAGAAAACGTCTTAGACCATACATTTTCTGTGGAGCACCACTCGTTTGGCCTCATGCAAGAGCACGAGTTGAAGCCAGGGGGCAAAGACATCAGTGTCACAGACGAGAATAAACGAGAGTATGTCAGGTAAGGATGGCTTTCTAGAACTTTCTGTGGGGCTTTCTGTGATCTGGTTGTCTGAGTCTGTCAATGATTAGTTGCAGGTTTACTATGCTCTATGTTCCCAAAGGAGAACGAATTAAGTGAGTCAGGAGGGGATGAAAAGGTGCTGGCATTTAATAGGACAAACATTGAGAAAACCAGAACAGTATAACTAAGAATAACTAGAATGTCTTTACACTGGAACCCACAAGGCATAGAAATAAAGGCGGACCAAACATACAAAGAACGGAAGTAGAGAGGTTAAAAAGATAGGGGAGGACATGTGAATGGGTTGCATGCTGTGGGAAAGGATAGGACAAACTTGTGTAAATTGGTTAAGTGCCTATGCTTCATTGTGGGATTTGGACAGAAGAAGAAATGTGTCCAAAGTTATCTTAAAAATTAAAGACTTTTTTTTAATGCCAGTGTCGCATAAGGCACCTGATGTTGGATTTAATTTTGATAAAGCTAGAGTAATGGGCACTTGAAGGTTGATGTGGTCAACATCCTGTCCATGGCCCCTTGGGGGAGGGGGAATAAACCTACTGCCTCCCTAACAAGCGTTTCATAAAAGTAGACTTGAGGGATGTTACCTTTGATGAAGTTGGAGTGTATTTGCCTGAGAGGCAAGCAAGCAGCAGTCTACCCACAAATAAGCTGCATCTGTAAAACTGATTTGCACACTAAACTGCTGCTCTGGAACAAGGCCAAAGCTCCGACGTGGGTGAACAACCAGAACTTTCCTGTGGGGTTTACAGCAAGTGAACCCTAAGCAGAAGAAGAAGAAGACTTTCTGGGACATTACCTGGTACCCATTTTAGGCTTGGCCTGGAAGCCAAGGTCAGATTTGGAGAGTTAAAAAAAATACATATCAGTGAGGATTTGAACCCAAGACCCTGAGGCTGTCAGGTGAGCATCAAGCCACTACACCACTGTGCCTCCCATTAACCTCCTGATATTTGTTTGAAAATTGGAACTTAACACCACTTGCTGCTGAAGATGGGGATGGGGCACTTGTGGGAGTCTCCCAAGTTCTGTGATAGTGAATCTAAACTCATCTCAAGTGATTTCTTCACATTTGACAGTCACATGTTTGTGTTACTCCTGCAGATTATATGTACAGTGGAGATTCATGCGAGGCATCGAGGCTCAGTTTCTCTCCTTACAGAAAGGCTTCAATGAAATTATTCCTCAACATTTACTCCGTCCTTTTGACGAGCGAGAGTTAGAGGTTTGTTTTCACTTATTTATACCTCATGTGATCTTGGGTCGTTACATATTTATTCAGTATGACTATATATATATATATATAGTCTTATCACATTGCATATTTGTACATCACTTTTATCACATAATAAGTTTGTGAACCATATAGCCATATCACATCACATGTTTTTATATCATATAATCATATTACATCATATGTTTGTCTTTCATCTAGCCATATCACATCACATGTTTGTATATCACATTATATGTTTGTGTATCATGTAGCCATATCACATCATATGTTTGTGTATCATGTAGCCACATCACATCACATCACAGCTAACCAAGTTGGGCCCAAGAATATCGTGATTGGACATTCATTCATGCGTCCTAATCTTTGAGACCTGCTAGTCTAAGCTACTGGGGTGTCAGGTTGTATTGTGTGGACGCTGTCACCAGCGATCACACATGCTCTGTATTACAGGATGTGACAACAGAATATCTAGAACTGGCCCTAACCCCAACCCCCCACCCTACAGACTCAGCAATGCTCCTCTCCTTGTGGGCCATCAACGCTGACAACTGAAGTAACTTCATTTTGTACTTGAAGTCCGAGATGCCAGAATATATGTAATTGCTCAGAACAGCAAGTAAAACACAACATGTACCTGTCCGTCCACTGACATATACATAGCAGAACTCAACTTGACTTCCCCTTAACTTAGACTAACCCGTCTCAAAGGTTGAGACACCACATAAATGAACGTCCAGTCACAGTCTCCCTGGGCTCGACTTCATTACTTTAACTCATATAATCATATTACATCACATATTTGTATATCATGTAGTCATACTGCATAACATCTTCATGTATCAAATACTCATATCACATCACATCTTTGCACCTGTCATACAGTCATATCACATCACATGTTTGCACATGTCACACAGTCATATCACATCACATGTTTGCACATATGATACAGTCATATCACATCACATGTTTGCACATGTAATACAGTCATATCACATCACATGTTTGCACATATGATACAGTCATATCACATCACATGTTTGCACATATGATACAGTCATATCACATCACATGTTTGCACATGTAATACAGTCATATTACATCACATGTCTGCACATGTCATACATTCGTATTACATGTTTACATACGTCATACAGTCATGTCACATCACAAGTTTGCACACATCATACAGTCATATCACATTACATGTTTGCACATATCATACAGTCTTATTACGTCACATGTTTACACATGTCATGCAATCATATCCCACCACATGCTTTTACATATCATTCAGTCATATCAAAAACATGTGTGTACATCATATAGTACATCATATAGTCTCTGTTTCAACACTTTGCATACATCTGGCCTGACTTAGCAGTCTCCAGATTTTTCAGCCATGGACTAGAGTTCTTGTCTCCTGTACGCTTCTTTGATTGTGCATTCTTTTGTTTGGCAGTTGATGATTGGTGGCCTTGGCAAAATCGACCTGGATGACTGGAAGAAGCACACTCGCCTCAAGCACTGCACGTCAGAGACCAACATTGTCCGCTGGTTCTGGAGGGCAGTTGACAGTTTTGATGATGAAATGAGGGCCAGGTTGCTCCAGTTTGTCACCGGCAGTTCCAGAGTTCCTCTACAAGGGTTCAAGGCATTACAGGGTAAAATTGCTACTGCCGCTGCTGCACTTAGGCTGTTTTTTTTTTTAATTGATAATGTTGTTAGCTAGAGCTGTGTAAATGTCCCATAAGACTAATGAACCCCATGTGGGTTCCGATGCCTATTGGTTCAGGCTAAAATAATCACATCCCATTGTTTTATGGTCAAATAATCATGTCTCATTGTGTCATGCTAAAATAATCACATCTGATTGTTTCCTGCTAAAATAATCACATCTCATTGTTTTATGGTAAAATAATCACATCTTATTGTTTCAGGCTAAAATAATCACATCTCATTGTTTCATGCTAAAATAATCGCATCTCATTGTTTTATGCTAAAATAATCACATCTCATTGTTTCATCCTAAAATAATCACATCTCATTGATTCATCCTAAAATAATCACATCTCATTGTTTCATGCTAAAAAAAATCACATCCCATTGTTTTATGCTAAAATAATCACATCTCATTGTTTTATGCTAAAATAATCACATCTCATTGTTTCATCCTAAAATAATCGCATCTCATTGTTTCCAGGCTAAAAAAATCCCATCCCATTGTTTTATGCTAAAATAATCACATCTCATTGTTTTGTGCAAAAATAATGATTTACCATTGTTCCTTGTACCTATAGGATCAACAGGAGCAGCGGGCCCTCGACTGTTCACCATACACCAGGTGGATATTTGCACAGACAATCTACCAAAAGCTCACACTTGGTGAGTCATGTAGTCTTGTTTTCTATGCTCCTGATTTAATGTTTTTGTTTTTGAAATGATGGAAAGTATTGTATTCTTCTTCTTCTTCTCGTTCACCAGCTGTACACTCTGGCGGAAAGTTCTGGTTGCTCGTCTACTACTGAACTGCAGTCCTGCTCCAGAACCTGAGTGTTGCGTGTGCATCAGTTTTACAGATCTCAATCTCTTGAATACAGACTGTTGGTTCCTTGCCTCTCTGGCAGATGCATTCCGACTTCAAAGGAAGCTCCCCAATTAGTCGACTCTTATGACATGCTTTTGGGGAGGCAGTGGGTCTATTCTTGTTTTTCCCCACAATGGGGCCCCGGAACCAACACGGGGGAGTATTGTATTGTTTGGTGGGACCTTTTCACGTTTCCAGGATTAGAGTGACTTCCCTTGCCATTCAAGCCTCCTTAGGTCACTGGACCTCTCCTATGTTGCGGGGGTGTTATGATATTGCTTGGTTTGGCGTTCGCTCAGCGTATGTAATGTTTGTGGGAAGTTGTGTTGTGAGTCTATTTCAGGCGCCTGTGTACAAGAAGTATGCAGGGGGAAGACCCTCAGGCGCGACTATTCTTGGCTATCGAAACTGGGATGTTTTTGAATTTCTACATTTGTTGGCGGTGGCTTTCCCCTGAGAGAAAGAAAGTAAAGGAGTGTTGGAATAGAAATATTTCACTATTTCCATACTTCCGTTACGTTCTGCAGGTAGCAGAACGTAAGTATAATCACACAAGCAAGTGGTGAGAAAAGAGGGAATGGTTAAACCGTTCACAATAAGGAAAACATAATTCCCCCCGCAACATAGAAGAGGTCCAGCCACCCAAGGAGGCATGAATGGTAAGGGAAGTCACTTTAATCTTGGGCCTGAAAACGTGAACAGCACCGATTAGTGTTTTTATGTTTGGAAAGTTAACTAAATTATTTGAATGCTTTATAGTTTTGTCACTTATAGTTTTGTCAAGTGAATGTGTACTCAAAAAAGAAGGAATGCTAACAGTTTACTATCTACTAAAACAAAGACAACTTAACTTTGTTGGTTGGGACACGTCTCTCACATGAGTTGCATTCCAAAGGATGTTGTGTCTGGTGAACTGGTGACAGGGATAAGACCTGCAGGAAGGCCAAAGCTACACTATAAGGACATTTGCAAACATGACCTGAAAGATATCAACACAGACACACAAAAGAGATCAGCTCCAGACTGACTCCTTTGGAAGCAGATGGTGAAAGACTGACTGTTGCAGTTTGAAAGAGGATAAATGCAGTGAGCTATTCTGTCCTCTTCTTCTTTCATTTGCTTGAAATAGATTATCTATATCTGCAGAGTTGTCTTTAGTATAAACTTCACTGTCTTTTGTAGTTCACTCAGCGACCTGTCAAGTTTAGCTTGCATCGGTGTTTCTCTTGGCCAAAAGTTTTGCCTTGATATGTTGTATTTAGGACAGGCTTGGAGGACATGATCTGTTGTCTTAGGTGCCAATCCACATGTGCACATGGCTGATTCGCTGATTAAAAATTGTCTAACCATGTGACTGCGAAGTCGATTGTGTCCTGTTCTAAGGCATAGAATAATAACTTGTTCTTGTCTGTCCATAATATGGTAATGATCTTGTGCGAGTTTTGGTTATTTTCTTCTTCTGTTAATAAGAGACTGGTACGTCAGGTTGTTCTTCATTTGCACCTTCCATAGCTAGTTGATCATCATTGACAGTGCTTTCCTGTCGGTATTTTGGCAGTATATCTGGTATTATTTGGATGCTCATATACATTCCTGTTTCTCCATTCCAAGAAAGCTATAGAGAGGAGACATCTCAGAAAAAAGCCAGCCTCAGAACACTAGAGTATCATCAGCATTTTGATGTGGATTATGTGGCAAAGACTGCCACTTGTGTATTGTACTTTACAGTCATAGCAGATACTAATCCCAAAACCAGTGGCACAGCTCCATGGTGCCAAGGGCCTGACAGTTGCCTGAGTATAGTTTTGTGATTGTGCTCACAGCCATGAGGGAAAGTTAAGGCCATTGTGCTGCATTTATAAGGCTCTGTAGCTCATTTCAGGCACCTGCAGGTTCTGTGTTGATCCTACAAGATGTAAGGAAAGACTCCTGCTGTACATAAACATGTCTTTCAGAGTCGGAGTACATCTGCCTGAGAGGCAGGGAACCAACAGTCTGCATACAGATAAACTGCGAAACGATGTGCGTGCAACACTCAGTTACTAGAACAGGACTAGAGTCCAGAAGTGGATAAACAACCAGAACTTTCCACTGCAGTTTACAGCAGTTTACATTGAGCGCGAAGATGAAGAAGACAACTTGGTTCAGTGATCTAACATTCTAGCATCTAACACTGATGTCCATGTCATACACCAGAGACCTTGCTCTTCTGCTTTCATCCAAAGATGTAAATGCATTGTGCCTATTTACAACATGGCTACATCTTCTGCAGGCATTTGTTGCCTGTGTTAACCTTCCTGGATACACCACAGACATCAACTTTCTTAAGCCCCCATGTGGGTTCCGGGGCCCTATTATAGGGAAAACAAGAATAGACCCACTGCCTACCCAAACGCATGTCGTAAGAGTCGACTAATTGGGAGCTTCCTTCGAAGTCGGAGTGAATCTGCCTGAGAGGCAAGGAACCAACAGTCTGCATACAAATGAGTCAGATCTGTAAAATGGATGCACATGCAACACTCAGGTTCTGGAACAGGACTGCAGTCCAGCAGTGGATAAACAACCAGAACTTTCCGCCAGAGTTTACAGCTGGTGAACGAGAAGAAGAAGAAGAACTATCTTAAGCCTAAACTGTGCTGGCATAAGATCTCTGACTGAGTGACCACTGGAGATGCTGTCACCAGAAACCAAAGAAGTGGAAAATCCTCCGGCATTCATTAGGCCACCACCAAACCATAAGCAAAGTATGTCTACTAAAGGCGTGCTCCACTAATTTGACTCATGAGTTCTCAAGTCAGCTGGTCATGACTTCTAATAAATGGCAATTTCAGTTCAGATGTCCGTTGAAGGAGAACAATATCGAATTAAATTGGTTTAAATGCCCCCCCAACCCGCCACTGGCCTTTACTCAGTGGATTACCAGGGCTACAGGAGAAAATTGTACCTCATGAAAGCTTCTCAAGATAAATGAAACTCTGAGAAGGCTTTGGCGTTTTCAAATCCACAGTTGAGATTGTTTCTGTTTTGCTTTAGATGTGTCGCTTGTATAAGTTTTAAAACAATAAAGTGTAATTTCACTTCGGTAGCGGATTTCGTAAATGATACTAAACCCGTATTTTTTATAAACCAGTCGGAATTCAAAGGGGGATATGGTCAACATCACGATGGCCATGTTGATTTCCCAAGATATTTTCTTCTACCCACTTTAGGCCAGGTGGATCCGAAGGCTGAGGTCATTGATACAGATCCACCTCCTTGTGAATTTGAAACCCTTGGGCCAACAGTCAAATGTCTAGCTACTGCACTGTCATGGCTCCAGTGTCAGTCACAGCTTGGTTGATTGAGCAATCAGTTTATTCCTTTCAAACTGCTTCCTGAAGGTTTACCATACCATCCTGATATTAAAAATCTCATTCTGGTCTTCAAACCAACAAGGTAGATCCCATATACCCTGTTCAGCCTCCGGAGAAGTTATAATTAGCATACACCGTAATGGCTGTACACCAGCCATCAGTAACCTGCAGTCCTGTTTGGGTAAAGACACCTCTCACTTTAATGTGCTAGTAACTTGTTGTCTTTCTGTTTCAGTTTCAACCGCCTTGACATCCCACCATATGAGAACTATGAGAAGTTTCTGTCCAAGCTGACGTGTGCTGTCGAAGAAACCTGCGGGTTTGCTGTAGAGTAAACCAGGCCTCGCTGACTCATCATTCACTGGCATGTTGTTTATATTCACAAGGATAATGTTTTTATTGACATTCACAAGGATAATGTTTATGGCACCATTCACAAGGTTAATGTTTACATTGACATTCAAAGGAGGATAATGTGTATAGCAACATTCTCAAGGATTATGTTTATAGCAACATTCACAAGGATAATATTCATAGCAATATTCACAAGGATAATGATAATGGTGGCATTTCGTACTGACTATTTTGAGAGCACAGCTGACGGGGATTTAGTTTCTAGCGACTTTCTTAAGCATATTGAACTGCATTGATATTTCACAGTTGTAAAAGTTGTAGTAATCATTATAGCAACATTTATAATGATTTTGATTAAAGTGTCGTGGAGATTTTATGAGGATGTTGTGAGGATTCAGTGATTACAGTGAAGATTACTAAGGACTTCTGGTTCAGCTTCTGGGACATTAAAGGTGCCAGGACTGTTGGTTTTGTTTTTCTAATGGAGACAGATCCATAGCTTCAGTGTTTGGAGATAGTGGGGTGGGTTCCTCTTACTTTCCACATCCATCTGGTTTTGGCTGTAAAGGTGAATTAGTAAAACTGCCATTACTGACTGTGTTTGCCACTTTTTGCGGTGTCGCAAAGGAGGAAAGGGAGGGGGGTCTTTGAGCCTGATGATTTACGGCTGCATGGTTAGTGCAGTCACCATTGACTGTATATGTAAGGATTTAGTTTTTACCCAGACAGAAAAAATACACAGCCTTACTGAGGATTCGAACCTGGGTCTACTCCATGACAACCCAGTATTCTTATCTATTCTGCCAGCCTCTCCTCAAAGGTAAATGAGTACACTTCTTTTAGTACCCTGACCAAATCAACGAAGTATTCTAAGCCATCCATTTTTGCAATGGATAAAAGGGAGATTTGGAGAGATAAGGGAGAAATTACATGTAATTAGAGAGAGTAGTTAGAGACAAAGAATCTCTACATAGGTCTGTCGGTACAAATGTACAGAGAATTAAAAAGAGCAGCACTCAACTAACTGTGAGTCTGTCTACAGGTCTGTCAATGCAGAAATACACATAATTAGAGAGAGCAGTAGTAGACTGAGTCTGTGCATGAGCCTGTCAGTGCAAATATACACATAAAATTATAGAGAGCGGTTGTAGACTGAGTCTTTGCACGAGTCTGTCAGTGCAGATATACACATAAGTAAAGAGAGCAGAAGTAGACTGAGTGTATGCATGTGTCTGTCAATGCAAATATACACATAATTATAGAGAGTTGTAGTAGACTAAGTGTATGCACAAGTTGTCAGTGCAGATATACACATAAGTAAAGAGAGCAGTAGTAGACGAGTGTATGCACAAGTCTCTCAGTGCAGATATACAAATAAGTAAAGAGAACAGAAGTAGACTGAGTGTATGCATGAGTCTGTCAATGCAAATATACAAATAATTATAGGGAGCGGTAGTAGACTGAGTGTATGCACAGGTCTCTGTCAATGCAAATATACACATAATTATAGATAGCGGTAGTAGACTGAGTGTATGCACAAGTCTCTGTCAATGCAAATATACACATAATTATAGAGAGCGGTAGTAGGCTGAGTGTATGCATGTGTCTGTCAATGCAAATATACACATAATTATAGAGAGCGGTAGTAGACTGAGTGTATGCATGAATCTGTCAATGCAGATATACACATAAGTAAAGAGAGCAGAAGTAGACTGAGTGTATGCATGAATCTGTCAATGCAAATATACACATAAGTAAAGAGAGCAGAAGTATACTGAGTGTATGCACGAATCTGTCAGTTCAGATATACACAGAATAAGAGAAAGCAGCACTGGACAGTCTCAGCACAGGTCTATCAGCGGAGATAGACACAGAATTAAACAGAGTAGTTGTATCAGGAATAGACAAATCTGACAGTCCTTTGACTAGCAAGCTGTCACTACTGCCTTTATTTACCACTTTTTAGGCTGGTGTAGACAGGAGGGCCTTGAGCGAGAGGATTTAGGGCCGCCTGGTTAGTGCTGTCACCACGGACTGTGCAGGTTAGGATGTTTAATTGTGCCCCCGACAGAAAAACTCCATCGCCTTACCGGGGGTCGAACTAGGGTCTCCCGCATGAAAGCCTGAGGTTGTAACCGCTTGGCCACGTGCTGCAGCAAACAACAGGCAGAAGTACCAGATGACTGAAGGCATTCCAAAAATGGATGTCCTCGTAAAACAATGCTTTTAGCAGAGGAATAAATGACATTTGTAACATCTTTCAGCGACACTTGGCCATATTTTGTAGCAAGGACTAGTTTTTGCTCCATTTGTGTGGCCCTGTGGCTTAGAGGTTAGTGAATGTGTTTAACAATTCATGATCTTCGAGTACCAGGGTTGAATTTCCATAGTGGATGGATTGTTGATAATTCTCAGACAGTGGTACAAGAGCAGCCGCCATGGTGTAGCGGCTAGATGCTCAACTGCAGATGTGAAGGTCATGGGCTCAGGTCCTGGCAGAGCCAGACTTTGGCTCCCAGGTTGACCCAGCCTCAAATAAATTCTAGGTAAAGTGTTGGGAAGTAAAGGCGCCTGGCGTGATGTTGATCACATCACCTAGTGCCAGTTGGTCTATTAAAATATAGGTCAAACTCTATATACCCAATATTCCTAAAGGCATGGAAAAGGATCCTATACTTGGTACAAGAGTCACACTGTGGAAGAGATTAGGCCTAACAACAGAATATTTCCAAAGAAGCCATGGGTAAACTGTAGCCAACCATCATTGTGGAGATGGCACATCAGTTTAAATTGATTTGTAAGCGTTGCTGTTGAGGTAGAGTGGAGACATGTATTCAAACTGTCATGGACACAGTGAAATGTTGGTGATGTGGTTTAGTGTTCAAATCCATGGTTCTATTGGCATGGTTTGAGAAACACTGTTTCTGGGATTTGGTTTGATCATAAAACCAGGAATTTCCTTCCAAGTCAGAGTGCATCCTCTTGAGGGGAAGGATCCAAGATTCTGCTTACAGATATGCAAAACTGAAGGTCTGGAACAAGACATAAGTCCAGAAGTGGACAAACAACCAGAACTTTCCACAGAAGTTTACGGCGGGTGAACTCAAAGAAGAAAACCAGGCATTGAACTGATTTAAAAAAGGTCTTGTCTTGTATGTACACCAGGGCATGGTTTTCTCACATGGCCAGCAGCAGCAGCAGATGTGTTTGCTGTGATCCCTGCCAGGACATGCTTGTTCTTCATTGGGGGTTGGCTTTTGTGTCTGTTCTTGACTTGGTTGTATCTAGCTGTTGTGTACAGCACTGAGACCCTTGTGATGATCTATGAGTTATGGCTGGCAGTGTTGGAGATATCTGTGTGCAGGCAAAGTTATTCCAAACTAAACAACCAGCTAGCTCTCAAGCTCTGCAAGGAAACCTGATGACCTCTGCTTCCCACTGTTGCCAGGATGGACAGGTTTTGTTTTTTTAATGTGGTAATTCTCCTCAGTGCAGAAAATAATATTCTGACCAGATAAAACACTGACCTTTTGCCTGCCATTACCTGGTGCTACGGTTGGAACTACAAAGTATTTTTGTTTTTGTTTTACACGCATGGCTTCTTGAACTGAGCATTCTTTCTGATATATGAAATGAAGTTGTTCGGAGTCTGATTGGCTTTAATTATGTTTGGATTTATACTGGAGTTAATTGTTGCACTTTGTTTATGTAGTTTTTGTTTATATGTATTTTCATTGTGGGGTTTGACCTGGCATTACCTGAGATAAATTGGTGTCTGGCCGTGTTTGGACAAACTACTTGCTCAAGTTTGCTGTCTGTATAAATGTGGTTATTGGATCTGGATATTTAGCGGAGATGATAGATTGACAGTTGCAAGAAAGGATGGATTTACTTGTTCTGAAATAAAACCAAAGTCCATAAATGGAACTTTCCACCAGAGTTTACAGCCGGTGACTGCTGAGAAGAAGAAGATAAAAACTGTCATCTAAGATAAGAAAACAATGTTTATCTGTTTTAATGGTGGTATGCACATCGTATAAGTGGAGTTCTAAGATAACACTGAGATCATCTGTGAGGTCGTGCCGAATGTCGTTTGGGAATTGATGAGATTGAGGTCAGTGAAGCTAGAAAATTAGGTCACAAACAGCTAGTTCCTTGTTCAGTTCTGCTGAAACGAACAGTAGCCATTTTGGGTATGCTGCAAAAGAAAAGTATATTTGTAAATGAAATAGTTTTGTCGGCTTACAACATAAAACTCTGACCAAAAAACTGTCATTAAGTTCATAGAAGACTTCTGGACTGTTCTCTCACAGCAAACTAAATGAGGCCATGTTTCAAGGAAGTTTGTTTCTGTCAGCAATGCAGTGGAAATGAATTACCTAAAACGAGACCAGAAATATTTGGTTAGCATAACTTCCTGTGTGGGTTCCTGTTTGGTCAGGGAAGTGGGTCAGGATTGCATAAACCCACTGCTCCTCAACAAGCATGTCCTAAAATGCTCCAGGATTTGCTCAAATCTGTCATGTTGGGCCAAAAGACACAGATATCATCACCTGGCTGTAAACCACACCACAACAAGCAAACTACCCTGTTATGGGTGAACAGTAAAAAAGAAGAAATGCAGATTCAGTGTGACTATTTAGGCAGTGTTCTTCTTCATACAGGGTAATTCAAAATGATGGAGACACTTTCCTTTATGTATATTTCCTTAAATGTTTATTGCATATTAATAATATACATACAACAGAGATGGGAAAGTTGAAGTTTAGAAACTTTCAATACATGTTATAGATGTTCAGTATGGCCACTGTTTACTGTTTGGAAAACATCTTTAAGTGGTCGCCAAACTCTCCCCCCCCCCCCCCCCCCCCCCCCCGCACGCACGCACGCGCGAAGAAGCATCTTGTACGTAACTGAGTTCCCGCGACTGTGCTCTAGCAGTAGTATTCAAAACTGTAGACCTTTCCCTCTCTCTTATATG